GGGCAGGCGAAGGCTGCGGGCAGTGGCCAGCTGCAGGTTGCCCACATTCAGCGCCACCGACACCACGGGCAGGAGGCCGGGCGCATGGGGCGCGGTGAGGTCCCTCTGCCAGCCTACGGTTGTAATTCAGATGTGTTTCAACTCATTAACTAAGTAATTATTAACAGGTGAGGTCCTCTGCCAGCCTACATGCACATGTGAATCAGATGTGTATCAAATGTGTCTCATCAGTTAATTCATGAGTGAACTAATTTGAGTTCCACCTGCGCACACGACATCGCGGCGGAACATGGTGGCGAGAAGGTATATTCAGAGCACCGCGTGAGTACGAGGGGCTGCGAATACAGTGAATACGGCCGAATACGGCCGAATACGGCCGAATACGGTCGAAGACGGTCGAATGCAGCCGAATACGGTCGAATGCAGCCGAATACGGTCGAACGCAGCGGAGTATGTGTCCTCTCGAGCGGTCGTTGGAATACGAGAACCCGTTTTCAGCTTCTGGGGACGTGTGCCCGGGCCTCCGGCGCGCATTTGCTCGGTGAGGGGCGAGCCTACCGCGCAACAAGGCGGGCCTTCTCCCCGAACACAGCGGGTGTACGGCGGAGAGCGTGTCCTCTCGCGCGCTAGCCGGAAGATAGAGGTTTGCGGCGGTCTTTCTTTTTCTTCTAGCGGGGCGACGCCGGCGTCGACCATCCGTCGTATGCCCACCAGCGACCAGATGAGCAGTGGGATCTGCACCAGCGGCACGGCCACGATCGCGAGCGGCTGGACGGACGCCGCGCGGCAGCAGCGCCACCCGCGCAGCAACGTCTGCGCCGCGCGCGCAGACGGAGGCTCGATGGCACGGCACTCGTCGCGAATCGCCGCCAGCTGCGGCCGGAGGGCGCCGAAGCGGCGCGTCTCCGCCAGCTGGTACCACAGCAGCGGGAGCATCCCGACGCGGAGCGCCACTGTCGTGCCGCCGATCGCAAGCCACCACGGAGCGCCGGTCGCGGCCTGCGCCGCGACGACCACCTGGGCAGGGATGCCGAGCGCAGCAACCTCCGTCGCGCCGCTCAGCGACCGGGAGCGCCCGGCAGCTCGGGCGCGGGCGCCGCCGCAGCGGAGGAGGCGCGCTGCTGCGCTCGTGCGTGCAAACATGAACCTTCGCCGATACTCGAGTGTAATCTCGGGCGGCCGCCTGTAATGCCTGTCCACTAAGTGCTCTCCCACTCCTTCAACCAACCGCGAGTGTTGCAGAGAGATAGAACAAATGCGCACAAAAAGAAAGTGAAAATCCCACAACTAGATCATCAACCTGCACACTGTGTGCACACTACTATATTTTTTGTTTCTGAGTGAGTGAGTAAGTTTGTTTCTCTGAAGAATGACCCTTCGGTCGATTTCAACTAGAGGTCGTACGATAGCGCTTGCTCCACATCCAGGCTCACAAATCAAGTCGGCAGTGACCGAGGCCCATCATTGCAACCTAGCGCAGCGCGAACTGCGCAAGACACGACAATCTCGAGTGCTGTGAGAGGTCCTCACAAGAGGTCCTCACAAGGTCCTCACGAGGCCACAAGGCGAGAGGTCCTCACTGGAGGTCCCTCGACTCAGCGCGAGAGCGGCCTCGCTCCTCTTGAAGCAGGAAGCCAGGAACACAGGCACATAACAACTTGTTGCGGTGCTTAGCTGTAGAGGGGCGGCAGCTGGTGACTGTGCGGAAGGGGGGGGCGGATCCGCGGAGAGTGGAGTCGAGATGATCCAACAAGTGAGAAGTGTAGGGTAGAACGAAGAAGTGAACTCTTGCACACTTGTGGTGCACAACCAGCCAGTCGATCTGCACAAGGTCGTCCAACAGGGTCCCTTTGACACGATGTTATACCTACACTTTCAAGTCAGTGAACCTTCAAGTCAGTTGAACTTATCCGCCCCGGTGTCCTCGGGCGTGCGGCGCTTGGGCGAGCCGCGGCCGCGGGCAGGGTCGCTGACATCTTTTAGCTGGCGCCTCATTCACCTCAAGTTCAAGCCCCCGCGTCCTTCCACAACTGGGTTCAGGGGGTCTAGGTGCACTCCCCGGGCCTCTGGCACCTTCACTGCCCAGAGCGTCTGGTGTCCAGTAGTAGTCTGCTGTCGCGAGTGTTGCAAAGAGAGCGCGCGCACAAAAAAACTAAAAAAAGTCCTCGGCGAACAAATATCAAATTCTCGTGC